CGCTGAGGCAGCGTCCCACATGCCACAACTAGAAGGACCCACAACAAAGAATATACAACTATGTACCAGGGGGCTTTGGGGAGAAAAAGGAAAAAAATTAAATCTTAAAAAAAAAAAAAAAACTACAAAGACTTAGTATGAAAAAAAACCTCAATTTTTATTTTGGTTATATACTGAACTGACAATATTTGGGTATATTGGGTTAAATAAATTTTTAGTTAATCTCACTAATTTCTTTTTACTTTCTTTCATGCACCTACCAGAAAACTTTAAATTGTATATGTGACTCACATTGTATTTCCACTGGAAAGAATTGCTATATAGATTTCCATATTATTTTCAATTGTCTTGCAACAAGCTTCTATTTATTTACCATTTTAATAACTTTAATAATATTTGGCTGATATCAATAATTAATGCCTATAATCTACAAATCATTTATAACTCACTACAACTTGAGAAATTATATTATTTTTTCTAAGGAAATTATTGTATTACTGTAGTAACTATAGGAAAGAAACACCTTTTATCACTGCTCTGTTAGCTCTACTTACAGTCACTTGAAACTTCCAAACTTTCTGCTGTCCTCACAAAGAAAACGTATACAAAACAAATATCCAGTTGAATAGTGAGTTTGTAAACTTTGTCTAAACAGCCATCAAAATAGTCTGACAAGGTAAGCATAGTACCATTAACAATAAGCACTCAAATATTGCATAAATCCTGATCCTGTAGAGAAGCAGGAAAACAGTATAAACAATTTTCTTTGGGATCTCTTTTCCACTCCTTTTCAGAATATTTTTCACTTGAATTCACCATCAATATAGATCACACTTTAAGTTCTCTTCTATTGTAGCTATTCAATGAGATAAACACCTAAAGTTCATGAACATACCCAACACGTTAGTAAAAGATTAATAAATGTTAGTGGGTTTTAGGATTTTAGCCTTATCTCTTCCACCTTACAAATGGGTATGTTCTTAAAAGCTCATCAGTAAGTCAACTGTTTAGAGCCTGCCACGCACTTCACATATATATACTACATATATAGTGTAATATACATATAATTCATATACATTCACATGCATATATAAAACATATGTACATAAACAAAATAACACACAAATACAAACATATGTACATATAATTTTAAAGTACTCTTCCAGGATTAGGATACGGATGCCAAGTTTCCTCTCTCTGGTATCAGAGGGGCTCCCTTTTCAATTTTCTAAAGCACTCAGGACACTCTTAAGCATATAGTAATCACTTGATAAATTCTTGGTTAATACAATCATATATGTTCACTCCAGATTTTTTCGTTCTGGTGGATTTTTTGTATGAAAAGGAGAAAACATAAGATAATATGATAATAATTTATCTTTTCATACTTAGAGAGCTTTTGGGAAGAGACTAGATTTACAGTTTAGCATCAAAGGACTGAACTAGGACTGATACCTGCAAATTACAGTGACACAGTTAGCCTCAACATAAGAACTTTCTAATCACCAGACTGTCAAACAACGCTGTGGTTTTTAGAAAGTCTTCTTTGAAGAGTATGGAGTTCAATCCTGGAATATTAGAAGGCTACCTATCTGGACCATAATATTTTGCCCCCACCCCTCAATTACCTTAATTGAGTTGATCTGGTGTTGTCCTCTCTTTACAAGATCCCTTTTTATGAGGTTCTGATTCTTACTAAATGTTTAAAGTACACAAATATATTTATTAATAAACTGCCACATATCCTTTATGAATCAAGGGAGAGAAAGAATAAATGTATATTTAAGCTTTTCCTTTTTGCATCGTGTAATTCCTCCTGAGTCTCCATGTCAAAATATCTACATGAGAGTGTTAGAACTTACTGCTCGAACACATGGAAATGTGGTAATCTATTCATAGAAAGCCAAGGACAATTCGTGATTAGACTTTCTTGGGTATGAAAAGTGTTTGATTTTTATGAGCACTTACCTATATTCTTTTATTGCCTATGTAGTTAAATGCAACCACATATGCAATGTTAATATACAGAACATTCTCCATTTCTCCTTTTGAACAGGTATAGAATAGATACTGCAATGTGTTCATTTAAGATCCATGACCAAATAATCTTTTGATGCTACATAAATATTTTTTCATGAGCAGTTAAACAACACTTGTACCTACTAAACCCGAGTTTTATGTGAAAATGATTTCAGAGGGCACTGGAAATCCCAGGTTTCTTTTCGATCCTCCAGTGTCTTTAGAAAGAAATTCCTAAACCACCATTTCCAGCACTCTTGTAATCTCTGAAAATTGTTTAAGAACTGTATCAAGGCAGTCTGTTATCAATTACGTCCACAATGGTAGCTCAATCATGTATGCACTACCACTGATTATTCTAAAGAAATACTACATTTAGGAGAATTAACTCTAGAAGAAATCATCATACATACTAATCATAGAAAAATAAAACTTCATATGTGAAATAGTTTTCATTCAGATCTTTCAGAGTATTTTATATGTTTATAATAGTAAGCATAGAAAGCAAATTACAACAATTACCCTGTATTTCATTATCTAATGCCTAGACCAACTTATTCACAACGTTCAACTGTGACATACCCTTCAAAGGTCAAGATTTATTGAACTTTAAACAATTATAAATTCAACTTTAAATTTCTTTTTTACCGTGTAGTTTTTAAAAATCCTTTACCCATTGAAGTTTGCCATTTATTCTTACGGTTAAATTAGTTTTTTATTTGTTTTTTAACTTATTTTGAATATATATGTGTTTTTTATTTTGGAAGAGATGATCTCCAATTGTTACATACTTCTTCTATTAGATAATTACATATTTTTAAAGACATACTGTATACCGATGACAAGTTGCTTTCATTCAAGCCGGTATTGATTTTCTCAAGCAATTCTTATTCGGCATTTTTGGCCAAATTTCAATGGCCTGTGGCACTTCTGTGAAATTTCCATTATTTCTACAAGCAAAAAACCAGTTTGAATCACCTTTTCAGGATTAGCCCTATGTAATTCCCTATACAGTGACAAGATCAAACTACCTGTTAAATTTAGCACTTCATTTCCAAGAACTTAAACACTTAGGTTTACTGAAGAGTCAGATCCCATTAATAGTTTACTTCACAAACTGGGTGTTTTGAGGCAATAATTAGTCGTTTTCAAGTCCATCTGACAGGTTTGTTGTGGTTTAGGACTTATTTTATTAGGCTTTTGTTTTTGTTTTTTTAAACAAACCTTATGAGGCAACTTTTATCAGTCAGTTCTCCTTATGGCACTCAATGTCTGTTTAAAGTAGGTTAATGAAATTATTTCATATTAAGTTTTTTAATGCAAATTATGGAACCAATAATTAAACTGTTTAAAATCTAGCAGAATTGATGTTGATTTATGAGGTGAACACTAGCCTATTGCTCAAGCACAATTCTCAGCCTAGAATGCAGACAGATACATACAAACATCTGTCAAGTATCTCCTCAATATTAGCAATACACAAAACAAAAAAGGAGCAAGTTGGGCAAGTTATTCTTTAATTATATTACTGTCATAGTTATTTCTCCTAAAATGTATATAGGAAAACTTTACTAATAAATACAACAAATAATTAATCTATCAAAACGTTGATAATTGGACTTCCTCCTTCAAGTAAGTGATGGCAACAAATAACCCAATTATCTGACTCAGATGTAAGGACTGATGCCTTCCCTGACACTTACACATTAACTTGTAAACGGAAGGTGATGCAGCTTTGACGGAACTTGTAGGAGAGAAAGAGACTATGTTAAATTCATTGAACCTCTTAGATTTGGAAAAATTGAGACTGTGTGAGAAAAAAGTTATGAAAGTATATATTTTTTTAAAAGCTATATGCATTCACTCTAGTCAGGAATGTGTAGAGATATGGTAGAACCTTTAGAATGACTAGCTCCTCACACAAAATAAATAGAAATACGGTTTTAGTTAAAATACAAAGGATTCTTTTTTCCTATAAAAGAGTCACTTAATGAAATTCCAAAACATGTAAAAAAAGTCAAAGATATTGTTCAATGGAAATGTTATTATATTCTAAAACATTAAACTTTCTGTGTAAGCAAGATATACAAGTAAACGTTATTCAGAAATAAGTATTTTTTAATATTGCTATTGTTTCCTATATCATGTATTTTATCACTTACTCTAAAAATAATTTTAAAAACAGAAACATTTAAATTTCTAGCTCAAGCTCATAATCCTAGAGTGAAAGCGTTGTGACATACTGGTCATTTTTCATATTTTTACACCCCTGGTGTAGCCCAATGTTATTCTCTACCACGACCGTAAAAATTAGTAATACAGCTTGACCCTAGAAGGGGAGGCTGCTAGCCTTTGTTCTTGTTTTTTAGGAATCATTTAATTGGACCTCATTATTATAATGACTTCAACAACAATAATGTCTTTAACATCTTCCATTCATTCTCATAGTATACTCACAATCATGCTAATTTAAAATATATTCATTGGTCAGAAGGCTATTTTCAATCTAAAATATCTGAATCTCAGGAAAGGCTGACAAGATATTTTTAACTAGGAGTTAAATTGCAAGGAGTTTGCATTTTGTGAAAAAAATATGAGAGGATGACTGTGGGAATGAGGTGGGTGGTAACAAGTTCTCTAGTCTCTTCTTCCTCGACTCTCAAGGAGAAAGATCCCCATTTCTCCTCGGCCCTTGTCCCTAGCTGTGTTTCAGTGCACCATGGATCGATGGACTGAGGATTAAGAGAGGGAAGCTTGGCAGGCAGGCACATAGATACTGTGAAAATCCTTCCCTCCACTGTCCTCCATTGGGAGAGGGAGAGAGAGATAACAAAGTCATATAAATACAAGTGTAAAGTTATTGTAAGAGATTAAAAATAATTGAAATGAACATTTAAAACAAAGTCTTTAGGAGAATTTAAAAGAAATGGAAACAAATTTCAGAAATTGGTTAAATTAGCAAAAATTTTAAAAATAATTTTTAAAAATTTTGTGTTTCATCTCGACAGCAGTTTTATTTCCTCTTTATAACCTCTAATTTTGCTACAAAATATTATCATCCTGATACGTTTCTTTATTTCCTCCCAATTGCAAAGATGATATTTTAAAGTTACTTCTGCAAAATGAGAATTCTATTAATCAAATTATTCCACAACTATTTTGAACTAAGCACAATGTAGCAATTGTCTCATTTCTAAAAGATACTCATTTTCTTGGGCATCAAACAGAAAGTTATATTTTCAAACAGAGTTTGTCTTTAGCAGGAAATTTGGGACATATTAGAAATCTATTTGCCACCCTAGAAAAACAACATTTCCCTTTAAGTACTGGCTCGATATGTCAGGAGGTTTCTCAACGTCTCTCAGGCCTTTTTCTCTGAGCCTCTGTCTGACAACAGCAAATCCCAAATCTGGGGAAGGCTCCTACTTCAGAAGTTTTTTGCCAAATATTTTTGGCCCTAAGGTTAACTAACACATCAGAGATTTTCAATACCACAGTTTTGTCAGAAGTCCAAGAGATCCTACGGAACCTTTTTGTCTAGGAAAGCTTACTTTATCTGCTGCAGCCCATTTATTAAATTTCCAATGAGAAGTGTGATGTGTAAAATTACAAAAACTTGAACTAGGAAGCATGCTACCCCTTGTGTGTAAAATGGTAGTATGTTTCAAGATGTATAGACTACCCCAGAAGAAATAGGTAACAGTGTCTCTGAGAAAGGGAACTGGGAGGCTGGAGGATAAGAGTGGGAGGGACATCTCTTTTCACTGTATCCCTTTTGATAGTATTTGCATATTTTTGCTGAGGGCCAACATTGTTTTTAAGGGGAAAAAAAACCCAACAAGAAAACATTCCTCAGAAATACACTTCCTGTGAAATCCAATCTGGTCAACAGTATTTAAGAATCTACAGAGTATAAATTTCCATACATAATTTAGGCAGACAATAATCTGGTGAACTGAATTTGATGAAAAGCTTTAATGGGATATCAACTGGATTATTTCAATTTGTGTCTGTATATTAATGTACATATACATCCTCCACTATATCTATTTTCAGAATCTGCACACATCCAAATAATGTTACAGCATGAAAGTATGTAATTTCTAGAATGAGACATGAATAACTGATAGGGATTTTTTTTTTCAGAACTGCTCACCTCCAGTGAATGAGTACTATTTAGGGTATCAAGTGCCCAAGCAGCCAGAAAGTGACTCTTTGCAGAGAGCCTCCAGATGTGATAAAGTATTTTTTTATTTAAAGACAGAGGAGCCTTCTAGATGTAAATGCACCTGTCGAAGGACTCAATACAGTTGAAAAACAAAATAAGCAACAACCTGTAGTATAACCACTTGATAAGAACTGCTATGCTATCCCAAAGTTCTATAAAGAAAATTACATGAGAGAAAATGTATACCCTGGAAACAGAGAAAATAATAATGGTCCAGAAAAAAAACTGTAATTATAAACAGTTTTTCAATTTGGATAACTAATCAACATGAAGATTACGATAATGGGTTTCATTTCTGAACCATGTTTGAACTTGAAAAATAAAATATAATGGTTCACACGTGACTCTTATATCCACAGATGTCATAACAACTAGTTTTACTTACCCTGTTGTCTCTGAGGAAAGTTTGAAATGAAAGACTTCCTACTTCTCATTTAAGCTAATACAAGTAAACAATACAATTTGAATCAAACCAAACCTTAAAAGCCAAAGTGCAATTTTCAGGATTCCAGCAACCACCTAAATACACAGACAGATGCTCCTTTCTGTATCATTAATTTTTTAAAAAATTAAGTAGGCAATTCCAGTGCAGGTAAGCATGAAGACCTAGCCCAAGTGTTTCAAGTTGAGGAAAAGACCTGTAAAAGTAGCATCATGTTAAAATCGTAGCAATATTAATTTTGCTAAGTCAATAACTGACATCTGCAAACAATTTGTGTAAGCTTGCCTTTTGTTCTTCTTGTATTTTAAAATACTACTCTACACACTTGCCTGGTTGACACTTTCTTCCCCCTAGGTGACCATATCTACTGGTCTCTCCCCACCCACCAGAGAGGGCAGATTCTTTGCAAAACTCACTGAAATGAACAAAACAATGATTAAAAGAGAAAAATGATAAAGATTACGAGAGAAAAACAATGATAAAAAGAGAAAAACCACCAAAGATATTCCAACCAAAAGGCTGAAAGCAAACAGGCAAAGGAATAGGTAACACTGTTCTTGCCTTTAAGACATGCACTGTCAGGTTAGACTGGAATCGTTTTCACACATGCTTTTCCTCTTCTTCCTCTTTTTTTTTTTTTTAACAATAAAATCTTGCTTGAGAAAAGCACTTTCCTTGCTTTTCTTTCTCTCGTCCAGTCTCCAGGAAAACTTAAAAATTGTATTTTCGTTTCCCCGTTACTATTTTTTAAACTGCAAGATTGTTTTCAAAATTTAGTCAATATGCTTTGCACACTTCTTTTGTCTTTGTCGTGTTCAGCATTTGGTGAAGAGTTCACAACGTCTAAGTTCTTTGCTATGCAGGTACATTTGCAACTCAAAGGATGACAAAGTTTTTTAAAACTCAGTTTATCTATGGTTTTGTATTTTTCAAGAGAAACTACCATTTTCACCTGATTTCTGCATCCATTTCTTAGTTTTTGAAAAGGTTATATTTTTCCAACGATAACAAAAGGATGTATTTCGAACTGCTAGAAATATTTGGATTTGGGGTTCTTTGCTTTTTCTTCTTTTTGATCATGGTAGTGAGAGGAGAATAAACTCTAAGTTGGATATTTACTTTCTTTAGAGACAGAAAAGAAAAAAACAAAGGGAAAGAAAGCTGTAAAGAACTTTACAGGTGCAAATTAAACACGAAACATTCTAACAAGTAAAAATCTACCCTCTTTCCTTTAACCAACCTCCATCCCCACAAAGTAAAAAGAGAATACTTACAAGTTAGCTTCCGTGTATTTGTGCCTGTGTGTGTGTATCTTCTCTCTTCTTTGGATTTGGATACTTTGAGCTAATTTGGAAGTGCCCGTTTGGTTACCCACAAAATGATGCTCAAGGGTTTAAAGATGCATAAATTAGAAGCCTTACAATGGCAGAGGACGGTCATTGTACCTCATCTCTTTATGCGCTCTTATGGTGGGACCCAAGAGCCTTTTTTTTTTTAACACTTTAGATGATGGAGCGAGTGAGGGGCTGGTAGCTGGACAGGACGAGGCGAGCCCCGCACCGCCCCCACCCCCTCAACTTAGCAGCACATCCGCCTCCCCCAATTACACCGGACTTCGCTACGAAGTCACTTAAGGAAAACTGGGGTCTGGACGGGGAGAAAGGCGGAATCCTTCACGTCCAGCCCCGACGCCGCCTCGGAGTTCCCATTTCTGGTGCTCGAGGGCTGGGGGAACCGCCAGGATAGAGGCGCGAGGGATGGAGAAAGCAAAGGGGGGTGATCTTTTCAAGAAACACCCAACTGCCCCCTTTACCTTTTTCGCCTCCATTATGGGGGCGGGGGGCGAGAGAAAAAGATGTCAATGACCATTGTTTGCTCGTTTCGGATGTTGCTCCGCCCCCCGAGTCTGTCGTAAACCTGGCGCCGGCCTAAAATAAACCCCAGATCCCGCAGCTCGGGGGGCTCGCCGCGCCGCCGCCTCCTCTCACAGGAGCTGCCGCCGCGGCCGAGGGGGCGGCGAGGAGCGGCCGCCGCGCCCGCCCCGGGCTCCCTACCTGGCCGCCCGCCGAGCCATGTCGTTGAGCCCCAAGCACACGACGCCCTTCTCCGTGTCCGACATCCTGAGCCCCATCGAGGAGACCTACAAGAAGTTCGGCGGCGCCATGGACGGCGCGCCGCCCAGCCTGGGGGCGCCCCTGGGGGCCGCGGCCGCCTACCGCGCGCCGCCGCCCGGCCCCTCCTCGCAGGCGGCGGCGGTAGCGGGCGTGCAGCCTCCGCACGCCATGGCGGGGCACAACGCGGCGGCCGCGGCGGCGGCGGCGGCGGCGGCGGCGGCCGCCACCTACCACATGCCGCCGGGCGTCTCGCAGTTCCCGCACAGCGCCATGGGCGGCTACTGCAACGGTGGCCTGGGCGGCATGGGCGAGCTGCCCGCCTACACGGACGGCATGCGGGGCGGCGCGGCCGCCGCGGCCACCGGCTGGTACGGCGCCAACCCGGACCCGCGCTACTCAAGTGAGCGGGGCCAGGAGCGCGGGACTGAGGGAAGGCGGACGGGGCGGGCTTTTCCCGCCACGGCCGGGGCGCGCGCGGGGCAGGGGCTCCCGTGCTCCCGCCGGGGGCGCGCGGGGGGTCTTAGGACGGGGCTGGGGGCGCGCGGGGGGTCCTGGGACGGAGCCAGGGCGCGCGGGGGGTGCTGGGACCTAGCCGGGGTCCCGCCGGCGTCGCGGCGCGAAGAGAGCGGAGCGGCGGCGGGAACGGGCTCCAGGCAGGCCTGGCGCTCACCGGCTTTCCCCTTGGGCCCCTCCCCAGTCTCTAGGTTCATGGGGCCGTCGGCGGGAGTGAGCGTGGCCGGCATGGGGTCTCTGACGGGCATCGCGGACGCCGCCAAGTCGCTGGCACCGCTGCACGCGGCGGCGGTGGCGCCGCGCAGGAAGCGCCGCGTGCTCTTCTCGCAGGCGCAGGTCTACGAGCTGGAGCGGCGCTTCAAGCAGCAGAAGTACCTGTCGGCGCCCGAGCGCGAGCACCTGGCCAGCATGATCCACCTGACGCCGACGCAGGTCAAGATCTGGTTCCAGAACCACCGCTACAAGATGAAGCGGCAGGCCAAGGACAAGGCGGCGCAGCAGCTGCAGCAGGAGGCCGGCCTGGGCCCGCCGCCGCCGCCGTCCCCGCGCCGCGTGGCGGTGCCCGTGCTGGTCAAGGACGGCAAGCCGTGCCAGAACGGCGCGGGCACGCCGACGCCCGGCCAGGCCGGCCCGCCGCCGCCCGCCGCGACGCCCGCGCCCGAGCTCGAGGAGCTGTCGCCCAGCCCGCCCGCGCTGCACGGCCCGGCGGGCGGCCTGGCGGCCCTGGACGCGGCCGCGGGGGACTACGGCGGCGGCGTGCTGGGCGCCAACCTGCTCTATGGCAGAACGTGGTGACCGCGGGCACCCCGGGGCGGGGCCCTGCCTGTGGCCCGAAGGGTCTGCAAGAAACTGCGGGAATGGATAGGGGAAACTTGCCGAAGCGGACTGCTGAGCACACGGCCCGTCAAAAACGAACAACGGGTCACGGAGAGGGGCAGGCTCTGAACCTCTTTGCAGGGGGGTGGGGGACGGCGACAGCCCCAGAATCGAATCGTGTAATGTCACGCCGGGAGGCTTGGAGGTGGTGATTTCCTCCTTCCAGAAGTTCCTAAATTATGCGAAAAGCTGGCCGAGTCCACATCCACCACGTTCCTAACCAAAGCTCTCAGAGTTTTGAAAGTTGGAAACTTTGTTGGTGTTTGTACCTCTAAAAATCAACCCGCTTTAACAATGAATCTTTTTTGAAGTGGAACTTGTCTTGGGAGACTGATTTTCGAAGGGCCCCCCCTTAAGTGCAATTTCATTAATGTTTGATTGAAAGTAAGTTGAAGTGTAGCTCAAGGTGGATCATGCACATAGCAACATTATTGCAGAGGAATTATTGCCATTTAGGTAATACAGTAATGGAATAAAAATAATAAAAAATACTGCTTATATGGATTCATATAGCTTTTTAAATTTACTGATTTTTAAATGTTTTGATCATTATTTGGCAAATGTGTGTTTGTATATTACCCTAAAAGAGGATTCCGCCGCCCCCCCCCTCCCCAAGATGCAGTTCATTATAAGAAAGACTGAAAAATACGGTATCTGGTCTCCCTAAATCAACAGATGAAATAAATACACCCTATCCTTCTGTAGACATGTTATTTACTCTTTCTAAGGTATTTGCCTGTCTGAATTTAAATAGCTTGATAAAATACTAGAGTCAGCAAGCAAAATTGCTAAAATTGACATCAATTAATTCATCTATATTTCAAAGCATGTCAAGAAGAAGGACAAGAATAAGATTATTTACTGAATTGTAATCAGGATGTAAAGAAGTAACTAAAATATAATTTTCCCATTATATTTAGAACTTAATAGGGGTTGCACACCGATTTTCTTGGTGTTTTCTTGTACAAATAATGTATTTACTCTTTAATATGCCAATTTATATTTCCTATGTTCCAAATGAATATTTAAATATAACTTAAAAGAACCTTAAGTACTTTTTTTTTGTAAAAGTCAAGTGGTCATTTCTTTTTCACTAAGTTGTATAGGTTTTGTTTGGATTTGGTTTGTTTTTACTCTAGTTGGCATGATGTGACAACACAGCTCAATTTACTCATGATTTAAATAACTGGTATTGAAGTAAAAATACTAAAAGCTGAAGAACATGAGCTTACAAAATGAAAATTAAAAACATAATATGGATAAAGCGTGGTTTATAAATGACAAAAACCGATAGTTACCAGGGACCCTAAATCTCTTCAACATTTGAAGTTTTAGAATTACCATTTGAGGCTGAAACATTTTATTTTGCTTCATTGTTCGGGTGTTTTTCTGAATGTGCAAAGTGAATCCTTAGGACGGTGTTTTAGGAGTTAAATTTGTACTTTCTCTAAACTGTATTTTATATAGTTAAAAAGACCCAACGACTCCAGTCCCTTTCACAGAGGGGAAAAAACACTAGAAAAGCAAGGGGATCAGCATTTATCAAGGGGCTGTGAATGTGTTTTTGGGAAATGAGAACTAATTTTTTTAAAATTGTACATAAAAAGAAATAATTTGAGCAGAAAAATAGCATGAACATGATACAGTGCAGCTACAGAAAATTCTCTCAGTTTGGATTCTTGCATATTAATGGAGTTGACTCAAAATGTTAACCAAGCTAGCATAACTATTACTGATGTGCCAAATTTCAAAATGCATGTTTATATCAGTTTGATACCCTGATAGTAGTACCAGAATTCTGAAATTTTACTTCTAGAAAACATGTTCCAAAAGTCCACATGGTTTGCAATTCTTTTTTTTTTTTCAGCCCAATACTTAACAAAAACAGCAATAGATTATGGACTAAGGGCTTCGAGTAACATATTTAAAGAAAATAAATCTTCATGGACAGTTTTTTCCTTGATACTTTATTTTTGGAACAAAGATTCCCTTAGACTAAGTGAACTCTATCAGAAAGATCATTAAGAAGAAACAGCCTTTTTTATACAGTATTTTCTGAAAGTATTTGGTATAGGCATATCTTTTTCCTTTCAGCATTCCTATAAGTAGTAAAAGATCCAAGCTAGAAGTAATTGCTGCAGAGGGCTTAACATTCTACAGACAGAAACGTACTGAGTTTATGTGTGCACATCTTGAAATTAGGATAAGGTTAGATTCTTGAAACATTAAAATAGAATGTGTTTACTATAGAATTCCACATTCTGATTAATGTAAAACAAGAGCTTTTTCTTCTTTTGCAATTAGTGCTTGTAGATCTTTTATCAAAACACAAACTGCCAGACTAGGTGAAACTCATTAACTGAAGAGGAGGATAAGTGTCTTCACAACCAAGAAGGAGGACTGGCGCAGGGTCTGAGTGGAACAAAGCCCCTCAAAGTTTACCAGAGGCCACAGCAAAACTCCGTTTCAGAAATGCTAGCCACAGATGTGACATTTTCCTAAATGTTTTGGGGCTTTTACAACAATCTAACTTATCTTTTCTAACTGAGGCACAGAAACCAAAACCCAGAATCAAAGTCGCAGAGAGGAACAAAAGAGATTGCAGGTACTTTTCTGTAATCTTCATTGGGAGGTAAATGGAAGTGTTGTGTGTGTGAGAGAGTGTACAGTGTTGAACAACACGGGAAGGGTGTTTTGTATATGGAAGGGTGGGGGTGTAACCCAATTGTCTTCTATTTAATACTTTGCTTAGAACTAAAACCTAATGGTCAGAACAAGTAGTCAGACTTTTATCAACACAGATGTTGTGTTCAAACTATTCTGCTATCGGCTGTTTACTTTGAATTTAAAGCTAATCGGAGACTCAATCCTGTTCACTAAATGCAAGCACCTTCCAAAGACTGGCTTTGTTAGCTGCATTGAATACTGATGATGTAGAGAGACTTTCAGAATAAATTTGTGAACCATAATCACATAAAGACCCATCAATTGGATTTTTAGATATGGATTTGTGCGTAAACTAATGCATTAGGTGGTGGCAATATAAATTTCAGATGTAGTTCAAAGCATGATATTGCCCAACTGTTTAACCATAACACTAACATGTCCTGGATAAAATCCTGTATGTTAATTATTTCAGCCCAGTTTTTTTTTTTTTTTTTTTTTTTAAATACAGCTACTTGCCATGCCCAAACTCAATGAGACAGGGAACTAGGCTACATTTTATTTTAAAAATAGCCTTTTACTGCTAGTGAGAATTGATAAGGATCTGGAGAAGATCCAAAGAAGACTCACAGACTGAGAACCACATCGATGTCTGGTCAGGAACTCGCTGTCTCCAGTAAGTATTGAGATAATTTTGTGATTTCAAGATCACTTTCATTTTATTATTTTTAAGTTAAGAGGTAATGGGAACTTCTGGGAGAGGGTTTTTGGTTTCATTTGTTTCTACTTTAGAATGTTTACCTGCAATTGAATGAAATGCCTTTCATTTCAGTTTTTTTTAATTCTATGTAACCTCTTATTTCAGTAATTCTTTAGGTGACTTCTGATAAAAGATTAACCACTAATATTGCCTAACTCTAAGGTGTGCAAACTATTTTGCAGTAGTAAATAACTCTATTCCTATTTCACACGCAAAAATTAAAGCATGTTCTCTCTTGGCCCTCATTTGGTAAATACGGTATCGGGAAACAAGCAACACAGCGTTCAACTTTACCCTGAGTGAAGGAAAAACCCGTCGAGAATGGGCCGTTTGTTATTTTGTTAGTGTGTGGACTTTCTTCCTGGTTAGAAATAGTAGAGCGCTCGATCGCCAGGAATAGCCTGGCGGGGGCTTCGTGACCCTCTGGGGTGGGCAGGGAGAGGCGTCCGACCAGCGGGACGGAGCTCCCCAGCCGCTCTGCCGTCTGGGAATGGAGACTCAGTTGACTCTTCGGAGAATGTCCAACTTTCGGATTTCTAAGCACAGCTAGACGCAGTTACTTTCAGACTTAGAACTTAAAACAGCAGTTTCGGAAGGAAGAATATTTCCATTTCCTTACAGGTCCGGTGTTAGCATTCGTGCAGGCAGTTGATGAAACTGGGCCCTTGAGAAGCTGCAGCGCCGCATCCAGGGGAACCGACGAACGACGCTCCGGTTTGGGCCCGGCGGCGGCCGCGACACACGAGCCACTGAGCGAGCTTCCCCGCGCGCACCGTGCTCGCTGCGGGCAGCTCGGCGCTCCCGGGCCGGCGAGCGGCGGGGTCTGCGGCCCGACGCCGGGGCAGCGAACGCCGCAAGGAGCCGGAGCCCCGAGGGCCGAGCCCTTCCCGACCACGCCCCGAGGGCAACTGGGCCCGCGGACCCAGGACCTCGACCCTGATGAGCAGGCCGTCCATCCCCGCTGTGCCGGGCCCGCGGCTCCCGGGCGCCGCCACTGTCCCGCGCGGCTGCGGAGTCGCCGCTCCCCGGGGCCCCGGACGCGGTCGAGGTGCGGCCGACGCCCAGCGCGCCCCGCGCAAAGGGAGAGCTCAGGACCCCCAGCCCCACCCGGCCCGCCCCGACGTCTCGCGTCATCGCACTAAGTTAACCTATGGGTCATTACCCTTCATTTGCCTTCGTAGCGCTAAACGGCAGTCTGACGGTAGTTTGTAGACGGCCTTGTACTTTAACGTGCATACCTCATTTGATCTTTACAGGGAAGACAACTGCTCATTAAGGGCCCTTAGCGCCACAATAAAGTCAGGCTGTTTCCAGGTTCTAAGATTTTTAAGCATCTTTACTATGAGCCCCCGAAAAACTGCCCTACTTAAATATAATGGAGTACAGTTAATTATTTAAAATTGGCCCGTTGACTTCACTTTTACATCCGAATATGGAGGGGATATTTATAGCTTTAGACATTTGATTTTAAAGTTCTAAAAAGCGTTTACTTGTTGAAATAACACGGCATTTTTCTGCAAGGTTCAAACATGGGAAAACTTGGAAAGAGATGGAGGAGGAATAGAGAGAGAAAGCAGCAGGGGTGAAGGA